TGAAAAAAAAAAAAAAAAAAAAAAAAAATGAAGAGAGCGCGCGCGACAAAAATGTAAATGTAATTTAATTACTTTGATCGAAAAAAAAAAAAACTCCAAAAGTGGTTCAAAGAGCCCCGGCAATGATTCAAGACTAATAGCCATACCTTTCTTTTCGTCATTTTCAGTGTGCGGTAAATCAAACGCTCCTCGACTTCCATTCATTACGAACGGAAACGTCACCGAAATTGGGCAATGGCCGTGGCAGGTCGCCCTCTACAGGCAAACCGTTGACAAGGGGATGGCTCTTATCTGTGGAGGCGTTCTTCTCAACGAGAACTGGATTGTGACGGCAGGTAAGTTGTTGACGACTCCTGGTTATTTGTCTACTGGCCTTTCTATATGAACTCAGTTATATCAGTTCTAACGGATGAACGGAATTGTCGGGGATCTTTCTTAAGCTGCTGTGGACGTGCCCCCTTCCTCTTGATAAAACAATGTTTTTTTAAAATCTATTGCTCATGTTTTCCAACAATTTCATTCAAATAGTTCTTAAATTTTATATGAAGTATTCAACACACATACTGGTGTTTACAAAGTAATGTTATACATTCACAGCAGTGGACAAAAATAATTAAAAAAGAAAAAATATGAAAAATAAATAAATAAATAAGGCAACAGCCAAGTGCTAAGTTGTAATTGTTAAGCAATGCCGCATGCAGCTTGTTCATATCTTCCATCCATATTGCAGGGCACTGTGTCGTGGAACCAGGGACGGCATTTGTAGCCTCAACAGCCTCGTTCAGGATAAAGCTAGGGAAATATTACCGAGACGACAGCTTAGACGATGAGTTCGTGCAGACATTCCAGGTAATTTGGTATTATTTATATTTGCGTGGCATGCCAGAATGGACAGAATTATTTAACACATGGTTGGAAATTCAAGAGAATAAATCCAGTCGACAGTGTACAATACGATAGGCTTTGCATTGTGCTATATTTGTAAAGAAATAAAAGTTAGCTTTCCTGTCACCGTGGAATATGTGTAAAAATAGTAGAGCTTACATCTTTTGAGCAAGGTATTTATAAAACATCTTCATGCTACAAGGGGGAGAGCACATTCTTAATACATTCTAGATTTAAGGGATAACTCTTCGTATGAGGTCCACAATTCACGATAAACACATTGGGAACAACTCATAGAAATATAATACATTCTATTTTACCACCAAATTATTCTGGAATCTGTGCTTGCCATCGAACCATGTGACCTCTGTAATAATCTCTAAGAGATTATTATTACGAACAGATTATTATTATCATTAACCATTGGTTAGTTTGGGAAAATTTTTCGTTTATCCCTGGAAAATCCATTTTTCGCCAAAATAAACTGTTGTTATCCCTTTAAACAAATCAATTCAAAACGCACAGAGCCCGACATTTATTTTCCCGTTTTTTTTCAGGTTGAGGAAATCCACCTTCATCCCAGCTTTGAACCTCTCTCCCTTGACGCAGACATTGCTCTGATGCGCGTTCCAGACCCGGGGGCGGTGTTTACCGACCGGGTCCGCCCTGTTTGCATGACTGACGTTGTCAGTAGTGACACACGGGTGAAGGCGGGGAATAGGGGCGTGGTCACGGGTTGGGGGAAGAATGAGAACGGGCTGTACTCCGACGAGTTAATGCAGGCAGTCATTCCGGTGGTTGATAGCCAAGTGTGCGAGGAGAGCTACGTGACATATGCTGGTATGTTTCATGACATTTCGTGACGTAATATGAAGGACAAATAATGTGTTGGTGTGAAAATCCAACGAAAAATGATTTTTATTAGTTTCATATTTTTTCTTTCATTTATTAATGTCAGCCCAATTTTTCTTCATTTATTCAAAATATTGAATCCGAGAACATTTTCAGATAATTTTTTTCTGGCCCAAGTGAAAGACGCTACCATCTTTCACCATTATGTGCTCCCGATTTTATACACAAAATAAAAAATTATAATTACAATTTATGGTTGAAATTCCCTGTTAATATATACAATAGATCCTTTCTTAATAGTATTTTTAACACAGCGAATACAAAAATAAGTTCATTAACTTCATTCACGAGTTGTATTTCGTATAGGCCTATATTTGTTGTGGCCAGTATGTGAACAACAAGCGTTATTGCAATCGCGTTCTATTTTGCTACTCCAGATCTAGCCATGCCAGTGACCAGCTATATGTTCTGTGGAGGGTACGCAGAAGGACAGTTTGACGCCTGCTCTGGAGACTCAGGAGGTCCCTACGTGTTCCCGTCTGGGACAGGTATGTAAATAAGTGAAAAACTCGTATTATCATGAGCTTTAAAAAGTTAAATTTGTTTCTCAAAACATGAATTAAAAAAAAATAGTAACATGTGTAAGTGATGCCTAATCTTTTTCTTTCCAAATGTTGAGATTTCAATTGCACAAACATAAACATATCTCTACTTTTTTCCCCAGGCGATTCACTTCGTTGGTACTTGGAAGGTTTAGTCAGTTGGGGCAGTCCTGACGGATGCGGGAAGGCAAACCAATATGGCGGCTACACACGTGTGTCCAGATTTATTGATTGGATGAAAAATATCATGTGATGCGTTGCATACGTTTGATGGGAAAAACACGTACATGCGACTCACGTTTTCTTTTCATTCATAATGGATGATTTCGATAAAAATGATTCTAAAAGAATACATGATGTGATATTGGTAAAAGATTGTAAATAGACTGGTTTTACCTAATAAGAAAAAAAAGAGAAAGAAAAAAATGAATCAATGGTAAAGATTATACTGTATGTCAATACAAATTCAAAATAAACAATGAATACTTTCCCAATGAGCAATTCAAATAATTTATTACAAAGACCGCTTACATCATACAAGAATCCTGGCAAAGCTGTTGGCCATATTGGAACTGGTTTCCAATATCTCTGTTGTATTGCCATGAGAATTTTATATCAAAATAGCATTAAAGGCTCTATGACTTAATATTACCATTAGTAAGTTATATTAATATGACCTGTTATGGCTTTTTTTAGAAAATAGGGAAGCCAATTAAATCAGAAAGTAAAATACCGAAACTAAGATCGCATTCACAACAAGTTGAGCCAGGCTTTACAAATCCTGGGGACTAAATATGGCAGACCTACATGAAAGAAAAACCG